CTCTCAGGAGTAGGGCAGGAAGCAATAACTACTGAAAGCTTAACTATAAAGCCTGAGATTTTTCAGCTTGTATCAAATAGATGGAAAAACAAGCTGTCCCGACTATTGAGAGTAGGCTAAATATGGGACAGTTTCTCCAAACAAGAGAAAAGAGCAGTGTTCCAACTTGGTTGCTACCACACTAAGCAGAACAAAAATACTTCAGAATACGCAGCCCAACACTTCGAAACTCATTCGAAAACCAAAATCATGACTTCTGTAGGGTCTGTCTTCATAGCTGTCAGACTTTAACCATATGTAGAACAAGCCAAATCTTTCTCAGTTGAAATGTTTGGTCCTACTGAAATATATAGGGTTATGGACAATAGCATAACTAACCAGATTTGGCTCCATACAATAGCTAACATAGACCAAGTGTAAGGCTCAGGAGACCATTTCTGATGCATCCAGATGGAGAGTACCTTTATTCAGCTTGATTGCAGGCTGACGGACATGGTGTGATCCTTCTCTGAACTGTTACACCAGGGAAGAGAGCACCCCTTCCCACCCTGCTGCATTCATATTGTACAAACTCACTACAGCTACTGTTCTCTGCTCCAACACCTTGATTTCTGGTTATCAGCAGTCTCTCTAGATTGGTAGCCCAATAAAAACTAGGGTGTTTGTTCAAGTAATTGACTTGAAAATATTTCCTGTTGATGTTGTCTTCTATTAGAAAACCTCTGGGAGTACAATGGCACTTCAGTTTCCTAAGTATCCTTCAGAAAATGACATTATCTTAATTCCACCAATGTGTTTTAGCAAAAAACTCACTCCCACGCTGCATTGTTTTACACAGTTCAAAAACACAGATATGCAGGTATTTGTATATTACTCACAGCCATGCAGTTTCCTTCAAATCCTGGCTCCCAGTTACAAATTTATTCCATTTAGGATGAAAGTGGGTGCTGCTTGGAGAGCCAGGACAGGACTAGTCTCCATCAACCCCACCTTTAGATGACCTCAGAGCACCTAAATGACGTGTTGGCCATTGGCACAGGGAAGAATATCTCTAAGCTACCCTGTATCTTGCTGTCTAAGCACTGAGTAACTAACTTGTACAAATCTTTAAGTGCTGTATTAGCCTTCCTTGCAAGGACTCTCAGTATGCTACCTGGGTTATTTGCTGCGACACATTAGATCAGGTTAGCTCTTAAATGGAAGTTCCCTATAGCTTCACTCAATAAGGTGAATATAAGCGAAAATACGAGTAATTCAAGGTTTATTTTCATCCTATGTCTTTAAAGAGAGCGCTTTTCCAGGAGAGTACATCAATCAAGAAAAAAAAAAAGTCAAATGTTTTGAAGAGATAGCTTTGTGATTAAATGCTTTTAAGTGGTCTTAATCAAATACTTTTGTTCTGAGATTAGAGGCAGGCACTTGTTTTAGGCCAATTATTTAGTAACTACTTATGTATTTAAATGATGTTAGACATGATTTTTCCCCTTGGTTCTCAACAGCTATGCCTTTGCTACAGCTGAATGATGACAAGATTTTGCAGCACAGAGAACTTGCATGTCCTCCCCCAGTGACAGTGTAATAGCCCGATCATGATAACTGTGAGCTAACCCTGCAGTTGTGACACTGAGACATGAACGGTGCTTACTTTTGGTGATATGCCAGCTCTATCACAGTACCCACAGCCTTACCTATTTATATGGCCAGGTATGAAAAACCCTACAAGTTAGACTGAGCTTTTGCAACCCAAAAGAAAACCCTAGTTGGTTCCACATGTGAAATTACCATCATGATTTTCTTCCCTAGCACCTCCTTAATTGTATCTGTCTCAGTGTTTTGAGACTTTTTAGCCATTTCTTAATGTATGTAGCACCTGCAGAGGCCTTTATTTTGTAAGTGACAAACTGCGGAGCTGCTCAAGGAAAACCCCTCTATTGTAGACCTGCATGCAGCAGCCCATGGGCTGAGGAAATGGACACACCAGGCATCCCCTTCCCAGCACTTCTCTACCACAGCAGGGTTAGTGTGTAAGCAGAGATACTCCTTTTAGCTCTCCACTTTCCCCTTTACATTTAAACTTTTATTCATTAATGAATGGGAGACAATTTTTATGCAAATCAAAGGCCTGAAGGCATCTTTTAATCACCTACATTTCCATTTACAGAGCAGGTATAAAAAGAGCAATACATCCCCTTAAATCCATTATCAAGGCTTCACACTGTGCTATTGTTCAATGAATCTTTCCCCACTTTTGCCTCTAAAATTACACAGGGAAGAGAGTATTCCCATCAAGTTCAACTTTATCACCAAGTAAAGTTGTCCTATTCCTTCCCATAATGAACTCTGGATCCCTGATGAGTAACTTGCATTTAACTGGCAACACTCTGGGCTACTTAGATTAACTGCAACTGTCTGAACAGCTTGAACCTCAATAAAATGTGTAGTAAATGACCGAGCTAATTTAACCTCATTAATCCTCAAACCAATAGAACAATTTGATGTCCACACAGCAGTTTGTGCACAGCCTCCAACATAAACATGCCCCGGTAGGAAATGAACACCAAAAATGTGCTGCAGCCCTACTGCCAGTGTTATCACTGTTGGGAAAATAGCTACATAATTAGAGACCTATCTCCAGCTGTATTGCAGGAGTCACGCACTTTATTTGGGCTTGTTAACGGCAGAACTGTTGTCTCCAAACTAGATCTGTCCTGGAATCTCCCCACTGCAGCACTTCGTGCAGCAGCCTCTATTTTATCTGTAAACCATTTGCCTCCAGTGTCAGCACCACCACCACTAGCAGGAAAGGAAAACATGGAAAAGCAAGCAGGAAATGAGTTGGATTAACTTCCATGATAACTCCTCATTGCAGTAGTGTTTGAATCAATCTTTAGAATACAAATTTGAAAACACAGTTACCAAGACTATAAGGTCCCCCAGCACATAAATAAAAACAATTTCAGCAAGACATTTCAAATATTTTATACATATTGTTCTTGAAATGAACACCAGCTACTTATTCATCAAATGCAACACAACTAAACCAATGTGAGCAATCTCTCCACTCCCACGTGGGAGCACAAGTCACAAATAACTGTGGCTTAATGCAAGCAGTTTTTAGGATGCAAGTAAATCAAAGGGGAATATTTCTAAGCATATAAATGTTTAATTCAGCACCATTTATAAGTTAATTCTGAAAGGAACTTGGTCTTACTTCAGTTTTGACTTGGGCTCCTGAGTGCTTAATCACTTTTAAAATGGGACTAGACATCTTAGTGGAAAAGTAACTCAAAGCCAGTTTATTGGTATTAGGTACCAAGCTATCACTGACAAACAGGTATGACATAATACGGACTGTGTCACTTTGACCTCAGCTTATTAGAAACACCATCCCACTGTGTTTGTGTTTTGGTTTTTTGTTTATTTGTTTGTTGAAGATGGGTATATAGTTGCTTCTTTCATAGCTTCACTGCAACGCAGAAGAGTGCTAAGAGAGGACTGCCCACAAAAATTAATGGACCAACTGGGTCAATTGCTTAACTACAGTGCAAGTTTTTCATTAGCAACAGAACAAGAACAGAGCATCGTTTTGTGAAATGTTCAACTGATCATGACAAATGGTCATCAGTGCAATTGAATCTAAAGCAAAACTCACTTGTTAGATGAACTAAGTAACATACAGAAGTCTCTAAGTACTGTCCTCACAGAAGTCAACATCAATTTATAGCTAGAAATTGATGCTCATTGTAAAATGAAAAAGGTTTTTGAAATATTTCCTATAACGGAGGCTTTGCACTAGAAAGGCCACACAGAACTCAAATAATTATTACTGAATCCAAGATACAGAACCCAGCAGAACTTGGAAAAAAAAACATGCCAATAAAGCTATTCCAAAATTGCTATGATTTTGGAATCCTTCCTCAAAACGCAGCTGAAGTGCATTCCCTGCAAAAGCTAAACAAGGGGCAAGTTACATAAACAAATAATCTTTCAAGTGTTTTACTAGTCTACTTTCTTCCTCTCACTGTTCTGATGTATGTAAAGGCCACCTATACAGACAGAAACTAAGTACATTTATTTGCCTAATGCTCTCTTTTGGGCAGGCATTTCCCACAATGTTTCATCTGAGCTCTCTAGTCTACTTTCTACCAGCAAATATCTTGAGCAATCAAAAATACAAATACAGAAAGAAGTACCCACTGTTCTTTATCAGATCTACATTTAATGGAAAAAAATCACCTCAATCCTTCCTTTCAACTTTTTGACGAGGCAGGTTAACTGTTTTGAAGAGACTTCAGATGTGTCACCATCTTGTACAAACACCAAAATATTTGCCAGAAACCACATAAAATAAATAAATAGAACAGATTTAATGCAAGTAAGACTTGCTCCAACAAGTTCTTCTCAGTTTTCTTCTGACTAGTCATTTCAAATCACTGTCACCCAGAAATTCTCCTTTAACAAGTTTTCCTTGCAAATTAAACAAATCATTCCTAGTACATACCTTCTTCCTTACTGTGAATATACAAAAAAAAAGTAGTACGTTTTGAATTACTGTACAGTCTGTTTTTCTTAGAGATGATTTCACATGAAAAATAACATAGCTCATCAGTGACAGAACCAGCAGTATTTATTGTGTATGGGGAATTCTGGCAGAGACATTTTCCCTTGGACAGCAAAGAAATGCAATAACTTACATTTCTCAACCACAGTGCATGCTTTCTGGCAGTATAAAAAATAGATCTCAATAATAAAACTATACCTCACTACCAATACTTACCTTTCAGCAGTTCCATGAAAGGTAAATATAACACCTATATATATTTATGTAAGTATATACGTTATATTTCTAAGAACTTGCTGGGTCATGCTTAACTTACTGATTAGGCACTGGGTTTAAAAAAACAGTTCATATATCACTCATATTATATCCTGGAGTTCACATTTCTGACCGTTACTTGCCTAGGCCAAAGTCAAAAAACAGTAAGGTCTCCATTTCCTACCTTATGGGAGCATAGCTGGAAGAATTTAAAACACTGCTTCGCAGACTTGTCCACAACTGTAGGTTCCTGATCCCTAAACAGGGAAAGAAACAAGGTAGCTGAGGAGCTGATAAACAGAGCTTAGTACATTACTATATATATAAATATATAGATATATATTACCAAACATAACGTTACATCCAGACTCAAAAGAAACTAAAGTTGACCCTGTAATCCATTTTCTGTATTACTTGGATGACACTTATTTCTTAAATTTCCTCAGCCACTGATGAACAATGGCACTGATGTTTCTCACTCCCACACAGCCCACCTAATAGGTTGTCATATTCCTTGTGTTACATTCATTGTTTTTCCCAAATATTCTTTTCCTTCACATCTACAAATACATCTCCCTGTAACTTAATTCCAGGATTTTTTTGTGGCTTTTATTTGTTGCTTTGCTTTTAAACAGTGCTAGTCCTACAGATTTTTTCATGTGATGTTCAAGAAAGAGTGCTCTTGATGACAATTTTATATTCAAACATAAATCTTTTTTCCAATACCCTTGGCCTGTTTGCTCACTAACCCTCAATATGAGAGAACGATGCTGAAAGTCACCAATCAGTTACTGTAATAGGATATTGAATCTGTTATGGAAGAGTAATTAAACAAATTCCTCAACAAGAAAACACTGGCTTACAAAGAATAACAACTGTGTCTTCATTGGAGCAGTCACAGTAGGACGTTACAAGAGAAACCCTTGCAGGCAGTAATGCAAGTCACTGCCACTTCTGCATCGTTCAACTCTAAGGCCAATTATTTCTGTGCAACTATGAAGTACAGCACAGGGAAATCTGATCTCTTGCTAATCAAGCCACATGACCAGGAAAATAAAGCTAAGGGTATGCTCTCATTTGAATTTCAGGATCAAACAGCACTAAGAAAATGCAAGCTGAGGCTGAATTATTATTTTTGAAGTTACTCTGTCCCAGAACATGGAGATTTCAAGTGACTGGGCCAGCTCCTGCCTGCTCAGCATGACAAGGAGATCGAATTAAGGTGGTCATGTGCATCTCAACACTCTCAAGAAAGGGGAACAAGAAGGCAGGCAATGAGAAGATTCAGTCATCCAGATGTAAGATCATGAGATTTGATGTAACAGGACACCCACGAGACAGACACATGAGGGTCCATGCTAGACTACTACTACCTTGCATGGCTTCTAAAGAAGACTTCCATAGAACTCTTCTAAAGCAACTTGCAATTACTTGTAATCAGGTTATTTATTATTCCATTATTGTCCCAGAATTAAGCACTGTATGTAATGTTAGACTTGCATGCCACAGTAAAATCTGCTCACCTCTAGCTAAATGCAAGCCATTTCTAATGCATCAAGTCCATCCTGCCTCTCTTCTACTTGACACAAACACTTTCCAAGCGGTGTGACAGATGCAGCTTCAGGATGACGCTGTTCTCAGGTACTAATGATCAACTACAACTAGTGACAAAGCCAACTGCCCTCTTCTGCAGATGGGAGACTAATTTACTGCTCTGCGGCACTTACCTTTCACTTCATTACTTCCAACTCCATATAAACCATTCCCCTGCCTTAAGAGCCAACAGTCCTTATTCTTACACATGAAAGATAATTTATGTTTTGGATTCTCAACTTACAACAATACCGCAATATGAGATCATCTGGCCTAAGCCATCCCATAAACAAGGCACTATTTTGTTTTTACACTGCTTTGATACTTGTAGGAGACACTTGCTGAGGAGATGGTGAACACACACACTTTATATGGTACTTCAGACTCAGTGTCTGAGTTTTTCAAAAGGTGTTCTGTATACAGCAGGCTTCATAGGCTCAGTTTCAGCTCCCTCATATAGGGTAACAATAAATAAAACAACCATATGATAACAAACCCTAATTGAATAATCTGATTACAATCACAGTGAGAAACCATACATGCTCTTCAAGCACCTCTCTATGGTTAATGTCTGCTTTGAATATAGGAAAAACTTCAGTTCTTTTCAAGTGAGTGGAAACATTTAATAGTTCAAATGAACCATTAGTTGCTTTTATTTTAAGATGCATCTTACAAGCATTTGATGTCACTTCTTATTACACACCCCAAAACCTGATAAGGTATCCAAACTACCCTGCTTCCTGACTATTCAGAATGTGATAGAATTTTATTGTCAAAGCTCCTACTTGTACTTGCCTCAGGATTCCTGTCAATTACTTCCTCAGCTTAGAGGAAAACACAATACCATCAATTTCTACTTCTGAGATTCCCTCCCTATCACCCTCCAAAAGTGGGCTCCATCCATTTTACACGCACAAGTTAGCCAGCCAGCATCAAAGCAGCTTAACCATTAAAACTATTTGCAATAATCAAGAATTAATATATATATATATATTATCGTAGCATTTGGCATTCCACAGAAAAGCAGCATACATCATCTGGTGCTCTACCACCTGTATTTACGTATACAAGTATGTATGGAATTTGACATAATGATTGATAATTTTATGTTAATAATGGATTTTCAGTATACTCCACATAGATTCCTCCTCAAAACATTAATTCTTTTCTCATGTAAGTGAATATTATTTAAGATACCAGGTGCAGTTTAAAATCAAACATGCCTCAGCATTAAAAAAATATGCTATTTTAGTCAAAAAAGGTAGATCACAGCTATAAAGTCCAAGGCATTTCAGAAAAGCCTAGACAAGTGTATCTGCACATCCACAACTCCACAGCACAAAATCTCTGTTGGTACTGAAGATACCAGTCATTGGACCACCCCACAAAGCAACCAACACACACAGACCTGTCGGTGTGAGATGTGACTTGACTGATAAGCATTTTACATGCCTGTGTTGCTTGATATCTGCGTCCTCCTTAAGTAAAGAATCATCAGCAGTAGAGCCCCTTAAGGACTTTAAATAGAGGTATTAGCAACTCTGCATGGATGTAGAATATTTTGTCTTTGGTAAGGTGATTAACTTTTAATTTTTCTCTGCTTCTAATTTCCTCATTCCTCTGTAATTGGTACATTGCCAGAAAGGGCAGAAATCTATTTCTTATAAGTGGCACTGTTATAATAGAAAATGCTTTTAAATGCAGGCTCTGTGATGCATCCTGATGACTGTCATTTCTCAGGGACTGGCTTTCCCTCTCTGAAAGTGTTTTCCCCTTAAGGTTTAAGAACTAATTCAATATTTTAAATTACGAATGTTTTGTCCCTGGCTAGTTCTTTTGGTGGACGACAGCCATTTGAGACTGTCCCTACCTTTCACCTGCTTTGACACATGCTTTCTTCCTTTCATTATCTGAGGAGTTAGCACTTAGCCTTAGTTTGCAGGGGATTTAAATCCATCACTTGCCACACAGTTTAAAATCACCAATTTAAATGAGCACCTGAAACAGACGAAGAACTCAAGAAAGGAGAGAAACGGACAGGAGATACAATGCCCTCAGAAGTTTTTTAAGCCCACTTCTGAGCAGCAGCATTTGATCTTGCTTGAGACCAGCTGCTCAATGCTAGGTATTTCAGGTGAGCATTTCCATGAGGACAGCTGTTGCTGCAGTGACAAACACAATTCACTATCATTAACATACTGATATGTAAACAACTAGGGTGCATATTCACCTCCTGCCTGGCTCAAGAGGAACAGTCCATGGACTAGGAAAAGCACTTGCATACTAAGACTTCTCAATTAAATAATGTGTTTACAAAAAAAAAAAGATTTATGATTATTTTTACTGTAATTCTGAAGGGTCAGAAATAAGACTCTTTATTCTAAATGTTTGTATACTTATCCTACATTTCAAAATCAACAAAATGCTTCCCTACAACAAAAGTTGCCAGAGGCAGAGAAAAAAATAATAACCCAACAAACCAAGGATAACACTATATAACCCTTAAGTACCTAATGCCAGCAGAAATGGTTTAACCTATTTTTGCTACAGAAGGCTCATTTACAAAAAAAAAATTGAGCAAATGATAATGACAAATTAGTTTTGACCTCATTACCGCTGGCTGCTAGATAACATGATATTACTGCTACCTAATAAACCTCTGCTTTCTCTTTAAGGTGCATAAATCATTGTCAAGTCACTAACTTATATTATTCTCCATAAATGTGGGAAGCAATTCTTCAGATTTAACAGGAATCTCTCCTTTACAGGGCTATATGTTGCATTTTAATACAACATACCTTATATTTTTGCCAGCTGCAGCAAAATGAAAAATTCTCGTAAGTCAGAACCAGATCTCCCAAATTCTATATTTGGGATGCATTGGTTATCTACGTAAAAGTCTGACCAGTTTATACCTTAGCCCTTCATAAAGGCTTCTGACATATCCTGCTGAAGCTGAAAAAAGTAAAAGGTTCTCAAGCTGATGAATCAGTTTTCATGGAAGCTACTTTCTTCATGCAGAAATCCAGTTCACTAAAAAAAAAAAAAAACACACACACAATGGGATGAACGCCCCACACACATCGTGCATGGTGTGCAACCTACATCAATATACATCAGCTGCCCCTAATACCTCCAGCATCTGAGGTTAGCAAATCTTATTTCAAACATGGTTGAAATGTTTCCACAAAAAGGCTCCGGTCTTCATAGTAATAATAATTACATGGATTATTCTCAGAGCTCTCAAGATGGCCTTACCAAAACTGGGTAAGCCATAGAGCTTACTGTTAGTATCTGGATCCTAATAACCCATTTTAATAACTCATAGATAACCTTCATCAAGCAGGTTAATTGCACAGCCAGAGACTGGCTTAGTCACACCAAAAACAATATAATGGCAAAAAAGCTAGTGCATCAGAACCAGAAAGTATCAGCCTAAAAAAAATGTGGAAGAGGAGCTCTCAAGTGACAATGTCTGTATTCCAAAAAAGCTGCCTAAATAATGCAGAGCCAAAACATTGCAAGAATATGTGAGCAAGTCAGCAATCTTCCAATGACAAAGGATCTGTCTTCACCTGCGTAACTCTACTTAAGCAGCTAGCTCATTCTTCCTTGGTTAGACTTTCTTTAAAGGAAACCCATGAACAGGTTAAAAAAAATAAGT